CATGTCACTTTAGTTTTGTGTATTTCACTGTACATAAATTATATTTCAATAAAATGCATTTAAAGAAGAAAGAAAAAAGAAATGAGAAATGTCCACATACTTTGGACATCTTATCAAGATGGGCCAGTCCTCTGAAGAAGGACATCATGCTTGGAAAGATAGAGAGTCAGTGAAAAAGAGGAAGACCCTCAATGAGATGGACTGACACAGTGGCTACAACAATGGGCTCAAGCAAAGCAACAATTGTGAGGATGGCATAAGACCAGGTAGTCTTCTCATTCTCTTGTACATAGGGTTGCTATGAGTTGGAAGTGACTTGAAAGTACCTAACTACAATTACAAGAAAATAAAGGAATATATTAAGTTCATATTAAATGACAACTTAGAATTGTTAGAAGCATATTTTAATTTTAAATACATCTGAGTAAATAACAGGCATCTTACCACTTAGGCATCGTCGATGATACTTGTGGTACACATGCTGGGTAAAGCCGTTTTCCTTCAAAAGTTCATGAGAAGGATGCTGAAACTTTGGGAATGACTTAGGAGTACATCCATAATTTTCTACTAGTGGTGTACCTTCTGAAGGTGAAGTATTTGAACTGCTGTTTAAGAAGTGAGAAGAAAGTCTTCAAACAAATACCAAGAACCAAGAGTTTAACCAATCTGTGCTATGTTTTTCATTACAGGGAATCTGAGCAATGGAAAGTCCCTAAAATTCTCCTAAATTAATGACATAAACGTCTAGATATGAAGCACTATTTATGTTCAACACAAATAAATTCATAAGTTGATAAAAAGCATGGTCATAAATTCTCAAAATAAAGTAAGTAGAAGCAGGTAAATGAATAGCTTATTTTTCCAAATCCATTATTAATTTAGTTAAGATTCATGTGTGGTTTATTTGTTGTTTATTTAATTATAGTACCAGGGAAATTTTTAATTTTCTTATTTTGAGTAATCAGGCCAATGATGCAAATTGAGTAAGTAGAAATGAGGGATAAAGTCTGACACAAAGATAAAGGCAATAATCTCATCCAAAAGACATACATGCAGTTCTAATTCTCTAAATTAATTCTACTTCTGAAATGTTTTCTAAATCTGTCTTTCCCTTTTTATCTGCATTCCATTATTCAAATCTAGGCCTTCCTCCTCATTCACTTGAAATAACTGGGCTCTTTGTTTTTCCAGTCTCTTTCCTCTACCCTGCCACCAAAATGATCTTCCCAAGTCATTAATCTAAATCGTGGTTTTCAAAATGTGGTCTGTATACCACAGAGGGTTCCCAAGAACCTTTTAGGAAGTCTACAAGATTTTAACTATTTTCATACTATTTGCCTTTTTCATTGTGTTGACATTTCCACTAATACGATAGCAATGCTGAGTAAAACTGCTGGTGTGAGTCAAAGCATTGGCACCAAACTGTATTTACTAGTCATTGTATTCTTCACTGCCAGACACTTCCAATTTAAAAAAGAAAAAGAAAAAGAAAGAAAGAAAAAAACAGGAATGTCCTTGATGAAGCAGAAAAACTGATTTGATACCATCTCACAAGCAAATGTCTTTTTATGTGTAAAAAAAAAGGAAGGTAAACGAAGCATTTTCGTGGCACATAAAAGTAGGATGGCTGGCTTAAGGAAAAGCACTTGTGTGAATTAAGATGTAAGCTGAACTGGAAGCTGTTTTCATGGAACATCATTTTAAATGAAAAGAACTGACAAAGAATAGCACAAACATGGGAAGAAGAAATGGAAGTACACTGTTGTAAAGTTCTTATACATGAAGTTGTATAATATTATTTTAAAATATACTGTTATAAGCTAAAAATGTGTCATCAATTCCAGAGAACCAATAAAAATAACAAAAAGATACAATTAATAAATTAACAGCAGAGATAAAAAAGACTCAAATCCAATCACATAAATAATTTCATTAAAAGACAGAAATTGTCAGAATGGTTAAAAGCAAGGCAACACACAAGTATACTGTTCACATGAAACCCATTTTAAATATGGAATGGTTAAAAGTAAAAGGATATGGGACATCCCAGTTAATTGGCATAGTATAATTCATAACATTATGTTCTACATCCTAGTTTGGTGAGTAGTGTCTGTAGTCTTAAAAGCTTGCAAAGGGCCGTCTACAATACAACTACTGGTCTATACTCAGGAGCTCTGGTAGGTGTAGTGCCTAAGGCACTAGACTGCTAACCAGAAGCCTGGTGGTTTACACCCATCAGATACTCCTCGGAGGGAAGGCTGGGCAATCTACTTCTGTAGTAGTGATACTGCCTCAGAAATCCAAGGAGAGGTCGCTATGAGTCAGGTTTGACTCAATGGCACATAACAACAACAACAGTCTATACTCATTCAGAGAAAAGTAAACCAAAGACTCATGAGTATCTACTTATTCAGAGCAAAAGAAAAAGAAGGAAGCCAAGACTCATAGAACAAACAAGTCTATAAGACAAAGAGTCTACATGAACCATGGGCTTATCTATTCTAAGACTGAAAAAACTAGATGTGCCCAGCTACCACTAGTCACTGTTCTAATCAGGGCTGCAATAGATGGATCCTGACAGAAGGGGACAAAAATGTACCACAGAACTTCAAACTCCTTAAAAAAAAAAGATGTACTGAAGTGGTTGAGATTAGAGGACTCCTGAGATCATTGCCAAGATACTCCTAAAATCCTGAACCAAAATTAACCCAAGCCACCTTGTAGCTAAATAACAAATAGGTTCAAAAAAATAAAGATTATCACCCATAAGTACTGTACTCCTATAAAAAATCACTTATAGGAGCTCTGGTGGCATAGTGCCTAAGGCATTTGACTGCTAACCAGAAGACTGGCAGTTCAAACCCACCAGTCACTCCTCAGAAGCAAGATTGGGCTTGCGTAGTGATACTGCCTTGGAAACCCAAGGAGGAGTCGCTATGAGTCGAATCGACTTGACGGCAGTCAATTGGGTTATATGAGATCAAAAGGTTAATAATTACTTTAAAACAAAGTTAAGAATGTAAGGGGGCAGGGAAATTAGATTAACAGAAACAGAACAACTAGAACAGAAACAATGAGAATGTTTATACATTGTGAAGTATGTAACCAATAGCACTGAACAACTGTGTAGAAATTGTTGAATGGGAACCTAAACTGCTGTGTAAACATTCACCAAACACAATAAAATGTTATTATTATTATTTTTTTTTAAAAAAAAGGTAAAAATAATATACCTCGGGAAATACTAATCAAAAGAAAGAGCAACTATATTAATATCAGATAAGGTAGACATCAAAACAAAAACATTACCACCAAGGATAAAAGGAAACATTACATATGATAGCATGACTTATGCATTGTGAAAAGATAATGATCCCAAATGTGTATGGACCAAAACATAGCTTTAAAACATCTATCATTAAAAATGAAAGAGAAATAGCAAATTATAGAGACTTCAACATCCCCTCTCAATAATAGCAGAATAAGACATAATATCACTAAAGGATACAGAAGACCTAAGCAACACTATCAACCATCATGGGCCTTGTTATGGATTGAATTATATCCCCCAAAAAATATGTGTTGTAAACCCTACCTTCTATGCCTGTAGTTATAATGCATTTGGGAATGGATTCTTTGTTTTGTAATGAGGCAGTCTCTTTGGAGGTCTAAAATAGAGTAAACAAACGAGCAATGCAGAGATAGGGGTAAAGAGATGCCAAGTCACATGAAAACTGCTCAGCACCAGAAACTCAAGAGACAAAAACCTTCCTCCAGAGCCAACAGAGAGAAAAAGCTTTCCCCTAGAGTTGGCACCCTGAATTCAGACTCCCAGCTTCCTAAAATGTAGGAAAAAATTTGTTAAAATAACTCACTTGTGGTGTTTCTGTTACACCAGCAGTAGGTAACTAAGAAAGGCCTAAATGGCATTTATAGGATGGTCTAGTCAACAATCCACAGAACACACATTATTTATTAACTGCACATGGAATACTCACCAAGACAAATCATATTCTGGGCAATAAACCAAATCTCAATGAGTTTAAAAGAACTGAAATTATACAAAGCACAATAAGAGAAACCAGTAATTGGAAGATTATCTGAAAAATCTCTAGGTATTTGAAAATTAAACAATACACATCAAAAATACCTCACAGGTCAAAGAAGTAGTAAGGGAAATTAGAATGTCTTATGAATGTGAAGAGTCTACACTTCAAAAATATTTAACTTGTAGTTTTTCTTACAACATGCAGTGATTTTAATTCAGTTGCTTTAGAACTGAAGCATTTATCATCCACACAGATTGCTTAACATTTTTAAAATATCTTTTTCATTTCCTTTGCAGGCATGTCCTTTCCTTATCTATCTATCTCTGCAAGACTGGTGTTCCTCAAAGCTTTTTTCCTAGAACCTCTGCTCTTCTCATTCTACACACTTTCCTTAGAAAGACCTCTCTATTGCAAAACTCTTATTTCTAGGCTAGAGATTATTCACTGCTTAGCAGTTGACCCACATATATATGTCATTATTATAATTACTTGTCTGCCATCAAAGAATTAAGCTCCAAAAAGATAGGGACTGCATTTACATTATTCCCTGTTGTACCCTCAGTCACTAGAAAAGTGCCTTACATCTTATAAGTCCTTGTATCATTGACACAATTTTGTTGTGGGGCATGACAGAGTGAGTGGTGGCTGGAAATGAATAAATCACTATATAGATTTATTTAACAACAAAATATATGATAACATATGAATCTTAAGAAACATTTTTTTAACTAAATATAAGAACTATGAACTAAACAGATCATGTGCCTTTTCACTAACTAAAAAAGTAAGGCATTTTTCACCATTATCTATTGATATCTAAATATAACTCACTGCTATCGAGTAAGATCCAACTCACTAAGACCCCTCTCCTTGAGTTTCTGAGGTGGTATCACTACGGAAGTAGATTGCCCAACCTTTCTTCCGAGAAGTGGCTGGTGGGTTTAAACTACCAGCCTTCTGGTTAGCAGTCAAATGCCTTAGACACTGTGCCACCAGAGCTCCTATCTAAATATTCTGTTTCCATAAAAATACTCTGGGAAACAAACTCTCAAATTACTGAGAACTCAAAAATAACTATCAATATGCCGTAAGTGTGCAGAAGAGCATGTACAACTTTGCCTTTTAGGGACAATATACCCAGTGACAATAAACTGTAATACACAAATGTGTATCACTGAAAAAACAGTGTTACTACCTAGCTTTTCTTTTCATGAAACTGACTAATCTTTCTCTACTAGTAACCATCAAAAAACATTCTTTCTCAAAGCTAAGTTTTCACATTAAAAACTATAATATAGTTATTCTGAAATTATCTGGCACAAACAAGATAGGTTTTGAAGAAACATAATTAGCAGTAAATCATCTCTGTATCCTTTGTACAGGATGAAACATCCCACATTGCTTTGGACATAACTGGGACTCTAAAAGGTTTGCTCAATCATACGTTTTTGAGATAAGTAATAGTCTTTTCAAAAGGTAAAAGAAAAATTATTGCTAATAATCAGTAAATCTAAACTGATTGCTATCCAAAATAATGTGTTTTGTTTCCATAGCCTTTATATAGTTTAAATAGACTGGCACGTTAATTCATTCACTAAATATCTTCTGAGAATCTACTAAACATCAGAAAGCAAAAGTACTGGAGTCTTTCTAAAGACTCCAGGGGTAGGTACCTGACAGAGGATGTTCTTGGCCCGTGATCTCTAGAATCCATTACCCAACCAACATGACACTCTAGTGGGGGATTTGTACTGTGCCGTGTTTTCCTTTTTCTTGGACTCTAAAAAAAAAAGAAGTCATACATTGCAATTACTTTCAGTAGTGTGAACTTCAGAAGTAAATTAAAACCCTCAAACTATAAACCAACTCAAACATCTTCATACTGTGGATGACACATTATGAAATCATATGAAGTCATAAAACTCAAACACCTTACATGTAAGTTACAAAATTTAACAAACAAGTCTCTTTACCAGGTTTGTTAAACAAAGATTAAAGGAAATGCAATTCATTACATCTTCCAATCATCTTTATTTACACTACTGAATTATAAAGAAGTTTCTTTCTTAATCTGAGAAAACATCACAATGGTAAAATATCATTTCTTGATGACTTCTTACAATTTAAAACATAGATTTTTTAAAAATGATAGAAATTAAAAAGTCTCATTCTGTAATGTTAAAACAAAGGATAAAAGATGCAGACTTTTTATTCCTGGTTGTTTTGGGTACCTTTACATCAATGGCTTTTGGTTCTTTAACAACAGGATAAAATCTTGGTGTTTTGTTAGGATCTTGTAATCTCGGTGTTCGAGGTGTTTTGGGAGTCCTTGCAGGATGAATGCTAGGTGATTTTGGAACTGCTGTGGGCAATGAACGGGCCATTGTTACTGAAGATATTTCTGAAACATCAAACAGCTTCTGAGCTAATTCTTCAGTCAAATCTGCAAAAAAAAAAAAACAAAAACCAGTTAAGATTATTTTAAGATTATTTCAAATACTTTACATAGAGAACAAGGATAATTCTAAAATTCTCTAAGCTCAAGTAATGTTTTCATTAGAAACATGTCAAATATATAAGAATATATTAAATGTAATAAATACCTGTTTATGCTTACCTAATTTTACTGGAGTTTGATCTTTATATATTTTGTTTCGATTTTTTGTTTTTTTAAAGAAAGATGAGCTGAAGGTCACTGTGTAACGGTTCCTAATTCCATTGGCCTCTCACTTTTCCTTCCTCAAAGATAACCAGCCTCCTGAATTTGGTATTTTTATTACTATATAAATGTAACTGTATTATTTGGCATAATTTTAAAGCTTTATATACATGATATCATACTATGTATCATTTTGTAAGCTTTTCTCCAGCCAATATTTTGTTTTGACTTTTATTCATGTTCCATTCATACAGCTCAGGTTTATTAATTTTCACTGCTGAATAATATGCTGTTATATATCAATTTATCCATACTCTTGCAGATGGACATCAATGTTATTTTCAAATTTTTGCTATAATCAACAATGCTGCAATGACCATTGCTGAACATGTCTTTTTGTACAGGTGTGAGTGTTTGCCTAGCATTTATATCTGAAGTGTTAACACAGAGCCAAACGATACAAATAGCTTCTTACTAAATACTGACTGCCAAATTGCTATTTGTAATCATTTTGACAATTTATACTCTCACTAGCAATATGTGAGAGTTCCAGTTTTTTCACATCCTAGTCCAGAATGATACAGTGCTGGCACTCAAAATACGAATGGAGAAGAGCTGCCTTCTCAAAGTAGAGTCAACCTTAACAATGTGGATGGAAGCTTCCTGGACCTTCATTTGCTGATGTGGCATGACACCAAATGAGAAGCAGTTGCAAACACCCATTAATAATAAGAATATGGAATGTAGAAAATACAAATCTACAAAAACTGGAAGTTGTTAAAAAAAAAATAAAAAGAATGTATAAAGATCTATACCCTAAGCATTAGTGAGCTGAAATGGACTGGTATTGGCTATTTAGAATCAAACAATCAGAGAATCAGACTATGCTGGGAATGACAAATTAAAGAGGACTGGCATCGCATTCAACATCAAAAAGGATATTTCAACATCAATGCTGTGAGTGATAGGATAGTAGCTATAAATACAAGGAAGATCAGTAAATACAACTATTGTTCAAATATACACACCAAGAACTAAAGCCAAAGACGAAGAAATGGAAGATTTTTTTTATCAACTTCTGCAGTATGAAACTGACTAAACATGCAATCAAGATGTATTGAGTGTTGCTGGTGACTGGAATGCGAAAGTTAGAAACAAAGAAGAATCATCAGTAGTTGGAAAATATGGCCTCAGTGACAGAAATAATGCTGGAGATCACATGACAGAATTGAAGACCAATGACTTATTCATTGAAATACCTTTTATCAACAACATAAACAGTGACCATACACAGGGAGCTCACCAGATGGTATGCACAGGAATCAAATTGACTATGTCTGTGGAAAGACCTAATGGAGAAGCTAAATAGCATCAGTCAGAACAATGCCAGTAGCTGACTGTGAAACAGACCATGAATGCTCATATGCAAGTTCAAGCTGAAGCTTAAGAAAATTAAAACAAGTCCACAAGAGCCAAAATATGAACTTGATTATATCCCATCTGAATTTAGAGACCATCTGAAGAAAAGAATTGATTCACTGAACACCAATGACAGAACTCTAGGAGTTGTGAGATAACATTAAGTACATCATACACAAAGAAAGCAAAAGGTCATTAAAAAGACAGGAAAAGAAAACCAAAATGGACATCAGAAGAGACTATGAAACTTGTTCTTGATGGAGAGTTACTAAAGCTAGGAAGAAATGATGATGTAAAAGAGCTGACTAGAAGATTTCAAAGATGGGCTTGAGAAGACAAAGTAAAGTATTACAATGAAATGTGCAAAGACTGGAGTTGGAAAATCAAAGGGAAGAACACACTTGGCATTTCTCAAGTTGAAAGAACTTGAAGTCATTTTGAGTTACAATACTGAAGGATTCTAAGGGCTGTACCACACTGAACAGTACAGGAAGCATCAAAAGCAGACAGAAGGAATACACAAAGTCACTGTACTAAAAAGAATTAACCACTGTTCAACTATTTCTGGAGGGAGTATATTATCAAGAATCAATGGTCCTGAAGGAAGGAGTCCAAGCTGCACTGAAGGAACTGGCAAAAAACAAGGCTACAGGAACTGCCGCAATACTTACGGAGCTGTTTCAACAAAGGAGTACAGTGCTGGAGGCACTCACTAGTTTATGCCAAGAAATGTGGAAGACAGCTACTGGGCCAGAAACTGGAAGAGATCCATATTTATGCCCATTCCAAAGAAAGGCAATCCAACAGAATATGGAAATTATCAAACAATATCAATAATATTATACACAAGTAAAATTTTGTTGAAGATAACTCAAAAATGGTTGCAGCAGAAGACTACTGACAAGATGGTGCAAAAGGTAAACAAGCTACACAGACCTTCTCTAACAAAAAAATGAGAAATCAATTGAAACAGATACAGAAGATAATCCTGGAACCCTGAGCTTTGAAGGTAGGTATTCAGAAGTGGATTAATACCAACTAGTAAAAGAACTAGTAGAAGAAGGAGCTCTGCTGGCACAGTGCCTAATGCATTTCACTGACAACCAGAAGGTTGTCAGTTCAAACCCACGAGCCACTCTGTGGAAGGAAGTCAGGGCAATCTACTTCCATAAAGATTTAATGCCTCAGAAACCCAATGGGGGTTGCTATGAGTTGTAATTGACTCGATGGCAATGGGTGTGGTTTGGTCTTAGTGGAAGAATCTGAAAGAAACCAGCGAATAAGGAGACAAATGGAGCCATGGACCATTGCCTGTTTTGATGCCATAGCCAATGTGAATATTTACAAGAGGCATTCTGATCAAGGCAGCAACCTAAGATAAGAATCAGCTCTACCAGCCAAGGACTACATGGACAACTGCACTGGTGGCTGACAAAGAGAAAGGAAAACAGCAAAGATGACAAACAGAGCTGTGGACTCTGAGCTGTGCTGAGGGTACAGCCATTTTGAATACTTGCAAGCAGTGCAGCCACTGTGAATATTTGCAAGCAGCATTCTGATCAAGGCAGCAACCTAAGAACAGGCTCCACTTGCCAAGGACAGTACAGGCAACCACACTGGAGGCTGATGACTAGAAAGGTATGATATTCCCCTTGTTACTCTTATAACCCATACCCTCTTGGTGAAGAGATATTGCCATCCCCACCCCCACCTACTTTCTGGACCATCAGGAATTCCATCCCAGTCTGTGTGCCCCGATAGAGCCTGGGTGTCCTGCCCTGCCCCTCCTAGTTTTGTTTTTTATTTTAAATTATTCTTTTATTCTTCTTCCTACCCCCTTTTCTTTTCCCTGTTTCCTTTCTTTGCTTTTTTCTTTTTCGCTTCCTTTTTCCTAGTTCCCCTTTTTTTCTTTCTTTTCTTCTTTTTGTTCTTCCCACCACTTGTTTTTTCTTTTTGCAGCTTTGACGTTTTTTCTTTACTATTATTTTACTCTTGCTCTTTTCCCTTACTGCTCCCAACCCGATATTATGGGTGTTTTCTCCCTTTACCTTTCCTTTGTCTATTTTACAAATATATTTTAAATTT